ATTTTATAAAAAGAATTATTTTCAATGCTTATTTTTGACATATGCTCAAATTCATTTATCTAGCAATTAATGTTTAGACAGCAAAAAGTAATTTGTCACTCAATATTTATTTTAGGAATTAGTGCCAATCCTCTGCCTCAAAGAGTGTCCGACTCGTATGTGTGATAATTGCGTAAACGTGTTATTTGAAGTTTGAGTGAATCCCGTATGTTGTGTGAGAGAGTCAGTTTTAGATCCGCCGTGGACTATCCCGGACGTGAAAATTAGATGCACTGGACATTCCGTCATCAAGAAAATATAGTTTATCTCTGGACTATTCCGAGTTACCAAAACGTTTGTGTGTGTGTCCGTGTGTGAGCGTTACAACTCGTCTTTTTTATGTGACTTGACTTGATTTTTTTGTAAAATATTAACTTTAACTTTTTCTTGCTTTATTTTCGTTTAATAAATTTTCATCACAAGTTCACTTGTGTTACGTACATGTAGTTTAAGATTCATAAAACAATTACCACTTCGATAAATACAGGAAAAAATGGTGTAAACCTAGCTCGTTTTTTTTTCGGCTATCAAAAGGCATAAAACTTGAAATGAATAAATGCACAAGCGATTGCGATTGATTAAAACAAGCTGAAATAGAGTGAAATTGAATGGTATGAAAGGAGTCGACATGATTTCAAACCCAATTTTCCATTTGTAACTATCGGAGTACACAACGGATTTTCAAATCGACATACCCGCTGCTATCTGCGGACACGTGCTTGTAAATGAGGACTGGGCTACAAAATTTTAGACACAAAGCGACAAAGCTGGATGTAAACTGTTTATTACAAATACGTGAATAATAGTATATTTTAAAGTATTTTTTTAACGTTCAATGTTTATTAATATAAAAAAAAATAATGGAGAAACAAAAGAGTGGTGGTAAAAATAAAACGTATATAATAGTACATTACGTATCACAAGACTTCCATAACTAATTATAATTATTTGCCGAAGCCCCTTTTCAATTACAATTTAAATAAAATACATTAACACGGAATAGAGAAATAATTTTTGCGTGAACAGGCGAAAGAAAGCGATCACAATTCAAAATGATTTATGCACCAGTGTTTCGAATTACGATTAAATGAAAGATCGTTGAAGTATTTTTATTGATTCGATAAATTAAAAACATGATTTTCTATAAATTGATAGGTATTTGTACACAATGGATTTTAAACACGATCACAGACACTTGCATTGTTTACGACAGGTGGCTGGTACACTAGTGACCTAGATAGACAGCGTGGGATTTGCGCGTTTGATTACATAACTGTTACAAACTTCTAGGCGATCTTGGAGATCGCCAAATGTATATAACTAATGATCGTGAATTATTCGATGCATAAAGTTAAAATAACTTATAATTGTTATAATAATCAATGTAGAAAGATAGATTTAATATATTCCGTTTATGAAGACGTTTTCACTGTAAAACTAATTAATAATAAATAAAAAAGAAAGACTAATCGTTATAAATAATCTATTAGTGAACCGTAAAGCACGTATAAAGCCCTATTTAGAAGAAAATTAACATTAAATACCATAGGATTTATTACTGATAGGAAGTTTATGTAAATTATACACATGAAGAGGTCTGATTTCCTTTCCGAATGAAAAACGCTACCTGTTTACCTGGCCTGCTTTCAACTACGTATTACGCAATACCCCCGGTATAATCGAACACAAAACATTTTCATCAGATTAAAAAGGTGTCAAAGAACAAATTTGTTCGTATAATCCAGATCGAAATATTTACCGTTTTTGAGCTATAAAGCAAAAACTTTCAAGCTCCCTAAATCCCTAATCATAGGGGCCAGCCCCTTTTGAATAGAATTATATGAAAGCTCTTGCAATTATGCACAACTTTTGTTCATTATATCTTAACAAAATATTTTTAGTTTTCAAGATAAAAAGGAAAACATGTGTAACTTTTCGCTCTTTTAGACGTTCTATTTTTTGACCCCTGTATAGCGCCATTTTGAATAGAGAAATCGAAAAACAAAAACCGATGTGCACAACTTCAATCTTTCTGTTATCTAAAACCAGTAAAATTTCTGCTCCAGCTATAGTGGTCTCTGAGCCTTTGTCTGGAAATGAAAGCCTATAATTTTTCGTTTAAAGGGAAATAACTCAAAACCGGAAGTGACTTTTTGAAATTATCGACAGCATTCTGATAGAGTTTATTACCGTCTATAATGTCTGAAAATTTGAACAAAATCCATTGAGAAATGAGTGAGATATGAGGCCTCAAAGTTGGCGTCTAGGAAGAAAAAAAAAAAGAATAATAAGAATAATCTTAATCTTCAGAATCAGTAGAAGGTCTTCCGTTGGAAACGGAAGACCTTAACAATAAAATGTCTCTCTTTGTTTGTTATTACTGGAATTAACGGTCGCAGCTATTGCAGAAAAATTTACATAACCCAATTACGCGAGTAATGCATTTTTTCTGCAACAGCTGCTTCCGTTGATTCCAGTAATAACAAAAAAGAAAGAATTTTATTGTTTAAATAAAATCCTTTAATTCTTATGAAGACCATTGCCATTAATTAGTATATGAACGACATTAAGCAAGCCAAGTGTGTATATAGATTTCTTGAACAATTGCTGTTCCATCAGTTTTACATACAATGACATATTCATCTGAAATACAATAGTTAACAAATTTAATTTTACTTTGAATGATTTTTGATACAAATGTAAATATAAACAATAAAATAACATTGCCCGCATTAGGTTTACAGTTATGTATTATTTTCTGCAACAGCTGCTACATTATAGTTCCCGTACTAACAACCAAAGAAAGTATTATTATTTAAAGTTCATACAATTTAAAGCCATAGGAAATGAAAATTTATTCACTGTAAGCATTATTTTCTTAATATGCGTGTTCACTATATCTGTGTTTTACTATACTTGTCTTATTTGATCCCTGCTAATTAAAGAGATTCGGTTGAGAATTTAAATTTAATTTATTTGAGGACTCACAGGTTATAAAAAGGTAAATATTACAATTATTCTATCAATTTTGTGAATATGATTTTGTTAAATTTTGAGTTTTAATCAGCCTAAATACAGGGTCTAGTTTACCGACTTTTAATCATCTTTAATTAAACCTCAACTTTGCAGAAGACAAGGGATAAAAAGGCCGAAGACTGTGATGGGTATAAAATATCTAGATTGAATAGAAAGAGTGGGTTATCTGGGGGATAACTGTCAATCTTTCTAAGGGTCTTACTAAAACGATACTTGGTGACCAAAGTTAAAAGCTAAGTGGTTCAGGGTCAAAGTCAAGGATGAAGTCACAAAGAGGACACATTACATTTAAAAAGTATCATGGGTCACACAAAATATGACCATTATTCGTACGCCATAAGTATGTTGACATGTGGACACATGTAAAATATATTTAATGATATGTTTTTTTCTTTTATTTTGCATGAAGGAAATTGTAATTTGAGAGTTGCTTCGGTTTGCCTTTCCATTGTATATTTAAGAGAAATAAAAAAATGGTGGAAGGTGCAGAAAACACTTTGTTAACCTGATTAAAATTCCAAATCATAAAATATCTAACAAAAACTAGTGAAAACTCAAGAAGAAAATGGTTTTGGGGAGTCAACTCGTGCAAAATAATTAATATAACATGCCGCAAAATGCAACAGTAGACAAGGAACGTGTTCCCGCGGAGTGAGCTGCGCCGGGGGGCGTGAAGGATTCGCCGTAATTTGTCGGCTCCTAACGATAAGTATCTAGATTGATGCTGCACTTTGAGAACTGCAAACAAGCCTCCAAAAGCCACAATGAAACGCTCTAACAGCGAGAGCTTGCTCCCGATTCTTTGTTCTAGTATCCTGGTTTCTGTCAAATCAAAGACTGAGCTGATGCTCTTCTTGAAAGTCAATTGTTATGTAATGGCTGAGAATAGAGGCATGCGTACAACAGAAAGCGATGAACAAAGGTTTGAAAAATTATCACACATAACAGTGCCTTTAGACTTTTGTTTAATGGGACGCTGCGTCCTCTAATTAACATTCCTTTAGACTTAAAATCTCTTTAAAATAGTCCTGATCTGAGGAGGCTTTGGTGAAAATATAATTATCAGAACAAAATAACAGACATCAAAATGGCCATAAAGAAAAGCTGAATGAATCGAATTTTTTTTTCTTGTTTTCAATATTAATCGAAACTTAAAATGAAGAATAATTTGTACAAAGCGTAATACGTTTTATAATATTTAAGTTCTGAGGACACGTTCCTCATGTAGATGTTTTGAATCTCTTGGTTTTATGTAGAAATTATTCCTATTTATCATTCTCCTCTGATTTCTACATTGTTTTAAAAATGTTTTTTAAATATAAGTACACCAAAAATGTGATACAAGCCATACAGATGATTATCCATAAGGATAATATGAGAAATATGACCCTTTTGTATCGTGTCCAAACGTCTGGTAAGGTACCCCTATTTTTTGTGAAGAAACTTGTTAAAGTACCTATACTTCAGTAACAAATTCTCAGGAAAGGTTAGACTTCCTCCCGATATACATTGCCACCGTTTGAATATTATTAAGGTTTTCTGCATGCACATCAGCAGATTGTATCTTTAAAGGGTCAATTTATAGTTGCACAGAAAATAAAGGAATTCAGCTGTCTATAAGCAGATTGATTGATGAATTTGTTTAACGTCCCTCTCTTATAGAGACGCCACCCTTTGCCGGTGTATAGCTGCAAATGACCTATACTCGGCACTCAGGACCATTGAGCAGTAATCTTTATCGTACCAGCACTTACTGTGACAAGGGACCTGGGTTTATACGGTCTCATCCGAAGTGTGTGTGTCCCAAAGTTAGATTCGACTCCTTACACTGCGACTTTAGAGCAGACGCTCTAACCACTACACCATAGGGACGACTCAATACGCAGGAGTGAGTACTGTTTTATAAAATAAGAGACACGTCTTCTTTAAGTAGACGAACGTTATTTCTTCAACAAAAGTAAAAATAATCAATACAAAATGAGCATTATAAATAAAATAAAATACAGTAAAATAAGTCTCAACTTTCAACACGACGACAATACTGTCAGTATAAGCAGAATATGGCGTACGAATCGAAGCATCAGAAATACATTCGAAATTCTACTGATCTCGACATGACCGCCCTCTGCCGTTGGAATCTTATATAAAGTCAGATATGGGCGCATGTAAATAAAAGTTACAACATAAATACATCTGCAACAAAATAGTGGCATTCAAAATTCTCGTGCTTTAAGGCACCATTATCTGTTTCGCCACGTGGAAGCGATTCGCGTGATGTAGATTGAAGAAGGGCACTTGGTGATGGTTGGAATCAAATTTTCCGGAAAGACACTGTGGCGACAATATCCTCCACTGTGTATGTCTGGAAGGAAACAAAAGTCGCTTAAGTAAATAATGAAATAACAATCACTCGACCATTATATTTATATCCAAATGGCAGTTGTTAATAATTGGTCTAATATAATTATCAGCCTCCCACGGGACGTTCATGTTTGAAGTTTATCTCTCTCTAAAAGAAAAATTAATTCTTTGCATTTTGTTGTAAGTCATCTGTATGATGTTTATTCTCTAGGGGCGCAATATTGGCTTCAGATAAAGCTTTTAATAAAAATATCTATTCTTATCACATCAAATTTGTTCCACTTATAAACATTAATTACGTTAGCAATTGAATGAATTACGGAGAAATGAAATGTTGAAATAATTACTTATCAAGTTAGACGTTTTCAACATTTTGTGTTTGAAAAAGGGTTCTGTGAGGATTATTTTGAATCCATGTTATTGCATTGCGGGGGAAAAGATGATCCAAGTTTAATAGCATAACTCAATATCTGTTGGAAAAAAATTAAATGCTGTAATATCTGCCACCGAAAACGAAGACGTATTGTCGTTTTTGGTACGTTATCGTATTTATTACTTTGAAGAAATATTTTAAACATTTCTGTTACACAAAGTTCTATTTAGAGCTGGCATGTTCATTAATTACCAGTTAACATCAATCATTTTACAAACGCAGACGAGACCAATCTTGTATCTGTGGTTTGTATCCGGCGAGGCAAGCATCACGGGTTTATAAACAAATCTTTCACCTCGTCGGAGAGGGCCTTAAGCTGACAATAAAATCACTGGATCTTACAGATACACGTGTTGTCTATTATATGATTTATTTGTACAAGAAATGTTATACCTATAGGGTTTGTTTATCGACCAAATACACGTTGCATAGGGAAACATGGATTTTTGGAATTCATAAAATTCGTCTGTGTTGTATATGTTTATCAGCGGGAAAACAGGTCATTGAAAATTTTGGATTTCAGAAAATTTCACTTTGCTTGAATTATTTTTTTTAAAGTGTGGCAGTATTTTATATAAGAATTTAGTATATTTCAAACAGGGAAAAATAATAATTCAAAGCCCCGAGAGCAAAAATAATTAAGTAAGTATAATTTTGATCCCTCCCTCACTTTTACAAAAGAGATATATAGTGGAAAAGTGAGACTGAGATCAACAACAGCCCCATGGGCTACAAAGCTCACATGAGTAATTTCCCCCTGCTGTTCTTAACTAGATATTTTCTTCTTATTATATCTATTGTGGCCCCATCCTACCCCCGATGGTGATGATTTGATCACTTTAATGATTCTTGAGAAGTTAAAGAATTGAAAAGCTCACAAACGGATGGACGGAGGTAGAAAACGATAAATTAGAAAAGCTCACTTGAGTGAGGTTAGATAGAAATGAGCTCGATCTTATCTTATTTTTAAGACCTAGAATATGAAATTCTAAGAGTGTACTCATAAGGTCAGGGGTCGCCAAAAGTTTTCTTCATGAATCTCTGTATTATTATTTTTTTCTGATACATGTATAGAAATAGTCCCTCTGACAGACATACAGACGGATAGATGGGTGACCAGAAAAGCTTTCAGCTAATGTGAGCTAAAAAGAGCAGGATATTTTCTATGTTTTATGACCCCAGAACCTAGAATTATTCTTAGAATTATTCTATGAGTGTACTCAAAATGTCATTCTAGGGGTCGAATGTTTTCTATTTTAACCTCTAAAATTTAGTTTTTTTCGGGAGGGGGGCATGTAAATATAGTCTTTTTGCCATAAATGTACAAATCTATGTATTGAATAAGAAAATTGAACTTATCCTTGACTCTGCATAAATGAAGTGACTTTATTTTGATAATAAAACCAATTATATCAGATTGTTCCATTTTAATGACGTCACAGTGTAGTCTATACAAGTATAATAACCTGAGTTAGCGTGTCTCCCTCTACTTCCCGTGTGAGTGTGTTCGCTTTTCCCTTCTCGTCCGCCGGCTCGTTGTTTATCCGTATCTTGCCGTCACTGAACGTCATGGTGGACTGACAAAAAAGATTTACCAGATGTCAAACAAATTACTTTTTAACGCTTGGCTGAGATCTGAAATCATATTCGTCCGAACCTCAATCGTATATGGCGCGATATAAATTGGTTGCGGGCATTGCAAAATTATTGTTAATAACACAAACGCTATTCAGGAGGTTTGCATCTGAAACAACTCAATGTGTAACAAAACTTTTCCTAATCATGACCAATCTACACTAAAATGACCATTCTACCCTAAAATGAACTACTTTTCCATGTAATGAAAAAAAAATGTTTTACTTTGTATATCACATAATCAGCACAGGAAACTTAATATTTTCCATTGATGCTAATTACATGAATTACCCGTAGGTGAAATCAATAAAAAACAAAGCAAAAGTTAATACAAATTACAATGCCTGTGATTTTCATGTTTTATATCTGATCGCGTTTGTTCTATTTCATTTGTAGATCCGGATATTGCCTTGACCTCCAGTTCAAGTACTAGACTGTACCTTGTACTTCCGATCGTGTTCGACTATGTCTGTTTCCTCTCCGAGCTTGTGTCGGGAATGAAGGTCCTTGATAGGAGTTTTCCTCGTCACGACTACCTCCTCTCCTTGAACTTCTATAACCATCGTGGGTTTCATTGCGGAGGCCATTTTCTTCATTAGAAAACCAACTCCTAAAATGGCAATGAAATCGGTCAATTCACGATAAATACCGAAAACAAAACTATGTAAAAGGTAAGCTTATCCTAAATATTATAATACAGTCTGCTCTCCTTAATACCCCCTCTCTTATGCATTTATTTATTTTTTAATCCTCTGTCATGATCTTTATTTTGTCCCCGTAATCGAAGATTTGGTGTATTTAGTTTTTGCCCTGTCCGTCCCTCTGTCTGTTAAAATTTTTTTCTTGCTTATAACATTTGACTGGGTGGGGCTATGTCTTTCACATTTCATTGGTGTTCCTTGTGACAAGACTTCTTCTTTGGGTGCAACCATTTGACCTCTAGACCTTGAAGTCTGATCCACATTTACACCCCCCACCCAAATAAAAAAAAAAACTGAATAAAAAACATTAACCTTGGCCATAATTTTTGAACAGTTGGCCCCAGGTCTTTCATGCTTCACATGTGTATTCAATATGACAAGACCTTTCAGTTCGTGTAAATATGTTTTATCTCTTGACCTTGACCTTAGAGTTTGACCCACTTGTTATTTAACCTTTGTTATAACTTTTGAACAGTTGGTACTAGGGCTGTCATGTTTCACAGGTGTATTTCTGAAAAGACCTTCTTCTTGATACCGACAATTTTAACCTTTTGGCCTTGGAGTATGACCTTGCATTTGAGAAACTTCAACCCTCGCCATAAGCTACCATTTAGGCGCATCAGTGTTTCACAAACAAATATTGTTTTGTTGACCACGCAGCTTGTATTTAATGCATATAGAAGTAACTTGTTACTGTACCAAATAAACCAATATTTTAGTTAGAGTGAATAAACTTAAAGTGAAACCGTTGCCGATAGCGATGGTAAAAGCCACTGAGGGTAGAAATATTCTAGGAAATGGAGTTATGTGCTGTTGACATATACTTGGGTAGACGTGATGGGCCTGGTGAACAACTTGTGGGTAGATTAATGTATTTACTGACATGCAGATAAGACATCAAAGGCTTTTAAAGTTCATCTGACCCTTATCGACTGTCAGGGCTACCAAGGTATTTCAGGTGGCATTATGAACCAGAAAAAATTTTTTTAACTGTAAAGTAATTTCACAAGTAACAGAAAATGACTGGGGTAAAGGAAATAATCTACAGTGATTACTGTTAACCAACTTTTATTCGAGGCAACATTACTTTGCTAATTACCGGGGGGTAAACTATTTCGCGACGATTAATTTTGGCGAGCAAGCCTTTTTTAGACCTGTTGTTAATAGACACAGAGACTTTAAAGAGCGGCTTAGTGTGCGAGAAATTAATATTCGCAATGATGAGGTTCCTGCAAACATCGCAAAAATTTCTGGCATGCGAAAAGAACTTGGTATACAGTATATTTTAACAGTAAAAGAGTGTGCTTGGAGAAAAGTATATCTAGGGAAGGAAAAAATGATAATAAGAGTATCTGTAGCAGAGACAGTGTCTGTATCCAAGAAATATCGCCGATTCAGAGATTTTGTGGCAGGGAAATCTCGCAAAAAGAGAAAAATATGTAGTAAGGAACACCCCCCCCCCCACTAAAAAATCTGAAGCCGGAAAATATCGCCAAAAAGGGTATTTGTAGCAAGTATCGCTTAAATGAGTACCCAGAGCAGTGCCAAAAAGTTACTTTTGAAGGAAAATATCGCCTTAAAGTGTACCAGTCCTTTAACGGAATGTATTGCTTAAAAAACTAACTGTAACAGTAAGTATAACCCAGAAGAGTGCTTGTAGGTTTATATCAGGGGAATGAATTACCCAGAAGAGTGCCTGTAGGTTTATATCAGCAGAATGAATTACCAAGAAGAGTGCTTGTAGGTTATATAAGCAGAATGAATTACCAAATGAGTGTGTAGGTTATATAGCAGAATGAATTACCAAGAAGTGTGTTGTAGGTTATATAAGCAGAAAAAATTGTCTTAAAGAGTGCTTATAGGTTATATCAGCAGAATGAATTACCAAGAAGAGTGCTTGTAGGTTATATAAGCAGAATGAATTACCAAGAAGAGTGCTTGTAGGTTATATCAGCAGAATGAATTACCAAGAAGAGTGCTTGTAGGTTATATAAGCAGAATGAATTACCAAGAAGAGTGCTTGTAGGTTATATCAGCAGAATTAATTACCAAGAAGAGTGCTTGTAGGTTATATCAGCAGAATGAATTACCAAGAAGAGTGCTTGTAGGTTATATAAGCAGAATGAATTACCAAGAAGAGTGCTTGTAGGTTATATCAGCAGAATGAATTACCAAAATCCCCACTTGAGTAAAGGAGGACTGAGCAGCTGATGATGGATATTTGACAAAGGTCCCTCCGTAAGAATGCTGCCACTGCTTAAATCTGTATACGTTCTGTTGGAATAAGTATCTGTTTGTCTGTTTGTGATCCCTGTTCAGGTTTATGTATTAGTTCCACTTTTTACATCGTCTGTCTGTCTGTCTGTAAGTGATCATTGATCAGGTTTAATTGTAAGGTCCACAGAATTTATTGTCTGTGTGTTCGTATTGATAAGGTTTGTGATTTATGTCTCCTGGTTGCATTGCCTATTTACCTTTCAATTATCACTGAGAAGATTTGTTTACAAAATTCTACCGCTCACAATGTCTGTCTGTCTGTCAATGATCATAAATCAGGTTTGAGTATAATCATTATTGATTTCTTTGTCCGTTTGTCTGCTAATGATCACTGATTAGTATTCCTGTATAAGTCCCACAGATTACACCGCCTTTCCGCCTGTCTGTCTGTCAGTGGATTGTTTTCTAACCGCTAACGACATCCCCGTCTTCTGATGCATGTTCAGTCCTGGTACGTTTAATTCACTACGAATGCTTGAAATTTTATTTTTAGATTGTTCCCACCACAAATGACAAATATGTGCTCGACCTTTCTTGAAACAGGCATTGCTTTTGTTGACAAATTGTTTTGTCTAACAATTAACACTCTCCTGTGCCCTCTATTTACCTAAAGTTGACAAGTATATTCAGCATGATGATTAATCCGCTGCCACCGATGGGCCCCAGAAGCATTATGTTTCTGAAGTATATGTGTTTTAAATGTGGTACTCATTGAAATATGACAACATGCTGAGAGGTCCCGAGTAAAAATAAATTATGTGTTTGGTAATGACAGGTTGTTGCAGTAAATATAAAATAGTCTCGTTAGTTTGATGTGAAATATACAGTACGCGTCGCTAATTGTCAATTTTATTTCTTTAAAAGTAAACAGACACCTCGAAGTTCAATGTACTGTTTGTACAAGGCGCTCCAGACAGATAAAATCAATAATTTCTTTATACTTTATGTTTATTGTACGAAAACAAGGTGTGTAACTGTTTTAAAAGATATAAAATATTGTGTTCCCCAGGGGATGAGTTGTTTTTATCGAAACATTTAAATTCCTTTGAAAGTTTTTAATATACCTAATATGTAACAAATTCTTAACTCTCTAGTCATGCATGCATGTAAAGCATATATATATGTAAATTAACTAAAATGTAAATATTATTTATATGCAACACAAACTCTTAACTCTCTAGCTGTGCAATAAACTTTTGTAATTCAAAAGGTAATTTATTTTTCGATATATATGCAGTCAAGAACTTTGATCCTTTAATTTATATAAAAAAGGTGAGAAATAAATTCAGAAAGTCGTTACGTACGCTTTCGACTCAGACAACAATCTATTTTCACTCTCCCCCGGCACGTTAATTTTCCCTGACCTGTTACATCGCTTCCCCATTACCGTCTACAAAAGAGATTTTTTATGAAACATGCTTTCTTTTTCCTAAAGTTAGAGATGATTAAGACATGAAACGTGCGTCAGAAATAATTATGCTATAACGGAAGTTCTATTTTGTTTTATTTTCGTGCCGTTAATTAGAGCAATTAATTATGACAGCCTTCAGAATAAACATGAAGTGGTTTTATCGATGTAAATTTTATCAAAGATTTGAAGGAAATAAAAAATTCTTTAGAAATTTATATTGCCACCTAAAGAGAAATAATTAATTTTTGACAGTTTTTCTATTTTCAAAAGACACGAGAGATAGAAAGGGAGAGAAAAAGAAAGAAAGTATGAAAATTATTAAGAGTTTCGAACAAAAAGTAAAAATATTCAAATTACAAAAAATCAAATTATTAATTTGGTACTGAAAAATTAAATTTCTTTTCTTACCCATCGCTTCAAGATATTTAGCGATATTTTCCTCCGATTCCATTTTCCATGTTCCTCCAAATTTCTCGCTAAGTTCCTGGAGGGACATATTTTTCACGAAACTATTCCTACCTTAGAAAACAAGGGTTAAACTAATACACGAAACAATGCGGTCAGTTCGTCGTCTGGCATGCGCGCCGTCTGTAGGACAGTCTGTGCTTCCGTTGTAACTCGCACCTGTTCACTGACAGACCGTGCGTCTCACGTAATCCAATGCTCAACAGAATGGCGAAGGATCACTCGCTGCCATTTATACCGGCTACAGCACAGAATTTGTCTTCGATAATCGTGTTGACATAACTGCTAGTTTTCTCATCAATGAAATTCTCAAAGCTCCAGGTAAAATACCTGTAAGGTTACGACAGGTAACGTGTACTTCATTTACACCGACAATCAGTCGACGATTGTCGTTAATAAAATGTGATTTATGTTCTTTAAATAAACTTTTTTCTACACGAGGAATGATTAAATCTTCTTAAATTAAAAATAAGATATTGTTAAATTAAAAACAAATAAACTGTTTCAGGTTAAGATGAAGGTTTCATTGAAAAATTTTCACCCCGAAGCCGGAGAACCATTGTCAGCCAAGGATGAAAATGATATTTGAATTGTGAACATTTTCAATTTTTTACCCTCAACTCGATGCAGTATTCGTTATATTAAGGCCGGTTTACACTATGCATCTTGACACATGCATCTAAACTCATGCTTCAATTTTGCCTCATGCATCTTTGCATGCATTTTTTACCCTCAACTCGATGCAGTATTCGTTATATTATACTGAATGTTTATAAATATATATATGCCAATCGCACCCTAAAAAATTGCACGCAGTCATTCCTATATGGGAATATTACCCGTGATATCTTCTCTCAGGGGGGAAGAGAGTTTTCGACAAATCCTATTTAAGTAATTTGAATTACAATTCCAATCGTAATTGTATTCATTGATTTCCTGTTGTTTGATTAGACGAGAACAAAGTCAAGAAAAAGTTTATACATCGATAAATTCCTTCAGTCAGAACTATTTTCCTGACCTACTTTTTATTGAAAAAATATTGAAACAAATCGTTACTTCTAGTCTGTTTTAGGTAAAAGATAACGGAAGCTTAAATAAAACCAAAATTTGCGATATACAGGACTGAGACTGGAATATTATGCTCATGTCACTGTGCGATCACGGGTATGAATTTTAAATTCATCGTCATAGCAAATCACCGTGGTAGTTCTCTGTAGCGCTTATAAGAATGAGAAATGTACCCCAGACTCTTGTCTTATTACCATTCCATTCATATTTCTACAACCTACATTCTATCCCGTATTCGAACAAGTCAATTAAGGAATCACTGTCTAGTTAGGAGGGTATGCAAGGGCATCAACAAAAGTGGGAAACATGGGATAATTTGCATAACGGGCGAAGCCCGTTATGCTCAAATTATCCAATGTTTCCCACTATTGTTGATGTCCCTGGCATACCCTCCTAACTAGACAGTGATACCTTATATTTTTTATTTTTACTTGAAATAACAGTCTAAAAATAAATCGAAATACCGTCTAATTTAGTAGATTTGAAATGTACGAGGCATTCCATGTTATTTTCCATTGCCCCGCCCCATGACGTCAAATTTTACTATAAAAAAGATATACTGCTGTCAAATATCAACATTTTTTATTATGATCAAAGCAATCTTGCTAACATTAATTATATATGTGACCTAGATTAAGGTCGTCGGAAGCACGAACACATGTATAGGTTCTAGGTCACTTCTCCGCCGCCATATTGAATGCAATGTTGCAGTTGATGAAACGGGAGTTGGTCAGCATGGTCAAGAAACAGAACTGTGTGTGTTTAATTAAGAAATAAACAACAATGTTAAAAAGTTCTCTGGGAAATGAACTTTTAGTTGGTCACGTGATCAAATGCTTTGAAGCCCGAAGGGCTTCTCAGTAGATTTGATCACGTACCAACTAAAAGTTCGTTTCCCAGCTAGTGAACTTTTTAACATTGTTGTTTATTACTTATATTTACATTTGAAACGAATACATTTCGAGTTAAATTGTATTTATTACACGGGCCAACGTATTGCTATGCAATGACGCGCAATGACCTAGAAGTTGGTTGGTCAAAATATCATATCGCTCTGTGATCCGGTTGCGCTATTACCTCTGACCCCCAAATGAAATTCAAACAGAATTGAACGTATTTTTTCTTCAATAGGTTCATCTAAGAAAGATATTTGCAAATGTAAATATATAACAGAGGACGTTGAATTGTGTAAGAAGTTGGATGGTAGTGACTGAGGGACGATGTCTGTATCGGATGATGGAGTATAGATCTATGTGGCAATGCCGATTTCTCCACGTGGTTCAGATGGGCTGTTTACCATGTTTACGGAAATGAAGTTCTCGATCTCGCGAGGCCCCGGTGATAATGGACAGCGTTGCGCTAGTGACTTGCTTTTGATTTGAAGAGAATTCATTATCTATTTTGTTTGTAGAAAGATATATCATAATCGAAATACTTAGTAAACAATTAAACAAAACATCTTTTTCTTCTGCAGTGTATTTATACGCCACTCGTATACATGCAGGATTGACATTTGACCTTTCAGTAGTATTTCAATAGAGAAATTAACATGCCACAGGAATCACAATGAAATTAACAACATTTACTTTTGTAGTGTTTATCATAGGGAAAACAATTGGAAATGGAAATATAGCAGAATAAGTGTCGGTCTGTTACTTTCGTTTTAGAGCGTTTGCCGTTAATGCTAACATGGTCAAGGACGAATTCCTCTGACGTCTATATGTATTTACAATATATTTGTTGACTTAACACTATTCGAAGGAAATTTATATTTTTTTAATTGAATGTTTTGACAATTTAAGTTAAACTTCCGGTATATCAATATTATTATCAATCACTAGAACGTTTCATAAATTTCATCGTCGTATTATTTTCATCGTAAAGGATTCCTACGCCGTACAGAAATAATGGATTGTATAAAGGCTGCAAAGAGAAAATTTTTTAAACTTCATTATTAGAAGTATAAGAATTTAACGCTCTTTTTTGCACTTTTATTTAGTTTGTGAGCACAGAAGCACCAATTTACATAGCTGCAGAACAGTAGATCTCAGAAAAAACTATATATTGATAGACCGGATAGCTACATAGCACCCATTGAAAAAAAAAAACTGTACATATATTTATTGCGCACAAAAAGTGCGCTGCTTTTCTATTTATTTCTCTATGTTTTTAAAACTATCATTTCAAAATATTACTAACCATGTGTTTCTAACATATTCTTTCACAACAAAACATTCCTTATAATTGTTTTTAATAGCCTCCTGGTCCTGAAATTGAGATCATCGAAAATTTCGCCTATTTGTACTGCCATTTTGGTTTGCAAGATAATTCGGTCCAACGCGCTTCATACAGATGTAAACTACAAAAGTAGTTGATAGAGGAGTGAGGTCTTTATTGAAATCTAGCTTTTTTTGCAATTGGGGTAAGAATTTAGAAGAATTAATCCAGAAACAGCGCACTTTTTTTTGTGCGCAATAAATATACAGTTTTTTTTTTCAATGGGTGGCACTGTAGCTCTCCGGTCTTTCAATATAAATTTTGTCGGAGAGCTAGAGTTCTGCAGCTACAGTTTACAAATAGATAAATTCTGGAAAAAAGAATGGTTAAATCTATAATAAAAATAGCTCATTTTTATGGGAGACTTAAGCTTAAAATATATATATTAATTTGTTTTCGGACCTGTGATGCTTACATTTTCCTCGTTATGAACATATTGACATAATAATCTGTTATTCCTGTAGGTTTCAGTGTATCGCTATTAATTTGATCCTGCTCAAGGCATTTCATTGGTAATGTTATACTTCTAAAATCAAGATTCTTTATTTGCCAGGGATTCGCGTATCAGGGTAATTTACGAGGTTTAGATCTCAGACATTTTCACTATCGATGTTTATGATGTGGTCATATTTCTCTTTGTTTCAAAATTTAAGACATTAACTCCCAGCATTATTATGTTCTAAAATAAAGGAACGAAAGCATGATATTTGGCGAATAAAATAAACAATTGCATCTCTTGAATAACATCAATAATAAGATTTTGTGATTATACATGATAAAAATCTGACACTCACTTCTCTCCTAATACAATACCTTGCGGTGGTTTTTTATGACTTTTTTTCTAAATATATACTTACAACTGTTGTATAGATATTGAACATATCTTCCCAAGCCCCGCGCGCGCGCGCGCGCGCGCGCGCGCGCGCGCGCCCCCCCCCCCCCCCCCCCGGTTCCGATGCCTATGAGATTTAAGTTTGTTCAAATCCCCTGAGGGTCGGATGGGGTCCCAAATGGATGTTCAAAGTTAAAATAGTAATGATATGATAAGGCGTTCATATGTTGATACAATATGCCATAAATAATGGCATCCTATCCACATTTATATGGAGGATCACAATTGCTTTATTTGCTTGTTCCTTCTTTCTTTCTAAATGTTCATACCCCAGCCAATCTCTCTATCCCCCTCTCTCTCTGTGAGTATGTGTGTGGTAACAAATCTCGAGAACGAAATACACAGGAGCATAATAAGTGTGCATAAATATTGTTTTGCATTTCATATGCTTATGAATCTCGAAAAAAAATTACCGTCTATCATTTAATAAAATCTAACTAGATTTTTTTTTTAAATATCTAAATCCTACTGACAATTTATATAATAGACTGTGTTTGTGAACTTTGTTTGAGAATTTTTTACTCATTAAAATCATCCTTCTATTTTAATTCATCTACTAGTATTCGGAAGAAAATTTTGCGGAAAATTTGTGACCGCGTTTACGTTGCACAAATAAACAATTGTCACGAATATCTTAGAATATAAATATCTAGAAGAATCAAGTATGTTAATTGATTTATTCAAGGGAAAGACATACTTTTTTTCTTATTGTCTGATAAAAAATGAACAATGGGGAAATGAGATATAATAAAAAATAAATAAAGATTAAAAAAGCGAAAAACATACACAAACTTACTAACTACTTTGATATGTTGCACTTGTATAACTTTAAAAGTTTTTTTTTTATAAGGTATTGATATGAAATCATAGCAAGGTGCAGGTTGAGTGTAATGTCTAGTCTAGGAGGAATAACTCGATCATGATTCTCTATCACATTATCAATTTTTTCTCTTAAAAATTCTCATTCATATTCAGAACATATCTTCATTATGTTAAAAACCAGGAGTTGGGAAATAAACGTAAAACTGGGAAGTGTCTTGAATAGAAAATCATGGACCTAATCGATAAGAGTGTAAAGTAAAAGAGTTTTAAAAGCCCGGGTCGATATGTGAGCTTTAATCCAAGCAGGACTTATCGCCAGGAGAGTTATCTTTCTTTGTTTTGTTGATTTGGCTATGCGTCATAATACGTACGGTAAACACGGACAGCGATAGTTAGAATAATCTAACTGTGTCTCGGTACAAGCCCTCACCACAGTTAGAATACCACCCATGTACTCGTAATGTAGCAAAAAATTGCAGAATCGCAACGAAACGATTTTGAAGGATACAAACGGATTTGCACAGAAAATAACTCATAAATTAATCAAAACAAACCTTTTTGAGATTGCTTATGCCTTTTATCCCAAAAAATAATCCATATAATTACGAAAATCCAATTAATTTTCTCAACGTTTTTCTCGCGATTCAAATTACCTGCCATGTTTACATTCGGAACTCTCTAGATTGTTCCTAGTAAATGCATTATGCGAGTTATCGCCCGTGTTTCTCTTTGCTACATTACGAATACACGGAACGAATTCTATCGTTAAACCGGGTCCGTAGGACAAAATCATTTTAACGATAGAACATTCTATCTAGGACAGCGAAAGTGATGATCGATAGGTGGTCAGTTGGAACATTTTCGTGGTCAAAAGTAGAAATGACTGAGTGCATAAGGCTATTTTATCCTGTAGTATTTGATGAATATTCATCCGAAAGAAACACAGACGTTTCACATGTTCATACTGTGTTTACAAACATTTTGACTATTTTAATACCTGGATTTTTGGAGGTGTTATTTATAGCACCAGGCATGGCTGGCTCCCCTAAGTGTGATCCAGAGCATTTTATCACGTACGTATGAACTTCTTAAATATATTTATTATCTAATTAATGCTTAGTATGTTTTTTCTAAAAAATAACGTTCATTTTTTTATCTTTTATTTGCACAGTGAAGCACAAGTACGGGAAATATCGAAGTCAGTCTTTATGGGACTTTGTCGAGTAGTTGGAACTACACAAGTTATTACCATGAGGAGGGATATGATGGACGTCTTTGAGATGGTGTACAATCATTTAAGAACTAGAAAAAAGCCGTTTATCCGTTATAGTGGAAGCGAAAGCGAGGGGTTTAGGTTGAAGGGATCAGACATGGATACCATGTTTTGGCCTGGTGATCATACTGTCGTCTGGAATTTAAGTCAGTCTCAATATTACCATAGACGAACCGTTCTTCTCGCAGACTGTACAGATAGTCCACCGGGGTATGCTTTACTCCAGTTATTGACTCCCACAGTCGAGAAGAAAATAGAATCATCATTGCTGAGAATAAACAACGAAAGGTACTTGTCTAGTTCTAAATACAGAGTAAATATGTGTTCAGAGGTGGTTCCGAATTCAACACAGCACGGGCCTTGTGGCAGTGGTAAAAGATTTGGAATAGAAATTGACTGCGCCCATTGTTTCGGTTGTATTTTTTGGCCCCCATCTGCTTCATTGTGGATAAACAGATGTCATTCATGGCCTCCGCCTCATATAATTCATGACATTGTTAGCCAGGGATGTCATTTCGCAGCAATTGGACACAAATTAGGAAATCATGAACATAATGAATGGAGAATTTCTTTTTCTCTTGCCGAAAGAAAACTTGTGTATTCGATGAATCACTGTCAATTTCTAACTTATGGGTTGCTTAAACTTTTCTTAAAAGAAGTCATTAACAGAGGATTAAGTGATGAGGAAAAGTTGTTGTGTTCCTATCACATAAAGACAGCGGTTTTCTGGACGATTCAGCAAAATACAATACCTTACTGGTGTCCACAAAATCTCCTGGAGTGTTTTTTGTTATGCTTTAAATTCATCCTGAAATGGGTATATGAAGGAGTTTGTCCAAACTTTTTCATTCCGCAAAACAACATGTTTCTAGGAAAGATCCAAGGTTCTGCACAGTTTTATTTATTTAATGCATTATATGCATTGTACGATCAGGGATACGCATGCCTGCTACATTGTGCCTCCATTAAGTCAAATTTCTTGAATGTGCTTTACAATCCAAGTGTCTTCATTCGTACAGATCAGCGGAGCCTCATCTCCGAGACTGAGTTTGATTGTCAGATTTCTGGAGAGATGTATAATTTAGACTCGATTATCATTACAGACCCAAAGATATGTATGAAGTACATGCGTCTTGTAGAACAATTGCTTCACTTACCCTTAACAAAATATCACTTCCTAATGTTACAAAAACTAACGGCCTCCGTTCTTCAAAGAACTGCCTTTATATTGCACAACACGTTCTCTACAAGGGACAACAAACAGAAATATATTATTAACAAATTGTCTCGTCAAATGTTGAAATTGGCAGCACAGATTGGATGTACGTCGGACCTGTTGTACATTGCATTGTTTTATTACAAAACCAAGAGATATGTTGAAGCTTTGGCGGTGTTGCGAATGACAAAGACTAAATTTTCTCAGCCATATCTAGCGTACACGTACGCCGAGTCTGACAGGTATGAGGAAGCTGTAGGGGGACAATCCTGGTCCAAAAAGTTCAGAAGGTGTGTGGCACAAAACATTAAACTGTATAATGGCATATCGTACATCTATGAACTCAACAAAGAACAAGATACAAGTCACGGGAGCTCTCAGATGAGACACCCCTTCTTGATCATTCCACCGTTTGTATTTTTACAGATGCTGGAGGTCTTGTGCTGTCGGCCTGTTGATGCCTTCAGCACAAAGCAAGCGTTAGAAGAGTTACATTCCTTACTTTGTAAGAATGATCCATTGGCCGTACCTGTGATGTTTAGGGATATATCCTGGCAGATCCTTGGTATATGTCAACAGGAGACAGGGAATTACCAGGAAGCCCTGAATTCATTCCAGCAATCCATTAAGGAGTATCCATATCATGGGATCCGACAACCCACGTGTGAGAGAATTCTGAAACTCTTGCCATACACATTACGGCCAGGAGACCAATTATAGCGATGTATTCAATGACAATTTAATGTGTGTTAGAAGACTTTGTTTAGTTCTGATAGTATAGTAATGTTTAAAATAATTAAAACTTATATCAGTATGTTAGCAATGGTTTGTAATCCTCTATAAACATCTCAACTGAGACACACATGGAATATCGTCCAGTTTCTAATGAATTTTTAAACCCCATTATTGCAAATGAAAATTGAAGTGGATCGAGCTTATTAGGCATTAGTAAGAGCAGTCTTTAAATTTGCAAATCTCATGTGTTAAACTGCTATACCAATATTGTACGAGGGCTAATCAAAAAGATCGCGATCTATCTCTTTATTTACAAAACCACTATTCAGGTCAGAGTAAATATGGCACAAATATAGTCATAAAGATGTCCTATAAATAGCAGATGCTACGTAACGTTTGTTTCATTTTTGTGACATCACAATGTAAAAATGACGTCAATACGTAGATGACTTCTGACACGAAATGGATGACTCATTCGTACTAAAGCAACGAAAGGCTGCAATGATGTAATGTATATCTTGGAAATTCCTTTGCAGTAGCATATGATTTGTACAGGTTTATGAACTCAAAAGATTTGCCAGAGGTTAAATCATTAATTGGATTGATTGGTTTAGTGATGGAAGGTATCAAATTCCTAAAATAGCGTTTCCTTTTAACATGTCAGTTTTGATAAAAAGAAGGGGTCCATACTTTATCCACAATGAAAAGAATCACGTACCCAAGAAAGAGCAGTCGGGTAATAATGGTCACCATGCTCATTCTGTGAAAAGACATCCAAATCCACCTATCCTGTTGCCAAGATGTGGTAGTTTATGACGAATAGACTATTCTTGTTTTATGAGATAACTGAAACAGGTAAGAAATATATTAGTAAACTCTTTTAGCTTCTATGACAGAACGCTACGGAGCATAATTTGACGGCCTGGATCTTGTTACTGGGGCGTGGACATAACGGTGGCAGATATACATTAAAAATTGGAGTACTTAAAAAATAATAAACACAAACATCTAATTTTATTTCTTGTATGTAAATAATTCAGTTAGTTTGCTTTTAACTTTTGATCACCCTCGATCGTATCTTTACATGGTGGCTAGAAAAATAATCTGCACTTTTCAAAATGGAGCTGAAGTAAAATATCATATGCTGAATTTCTTTTAAAAAGGCGTGAAAAGTCGACTTTCTTCTAGAAGTTGGATGATCTTTCAGCCTGATTACATATTGCCTTTATCCTTTGATGAATACAACCCCAAGAAGCAGAAAAGAATCTCAAATTATACGAGCAACCGACGCAAAGACGTTTTTATGTTTCAAATATTTACTTGCTTTTGGAATAATATGAAATTGTTATTCCGTGAAAACCATTGTTGACTAGTGTATTTTTAGGGGATAAGGCCGGAATTAAAAATATCTTTGTTTCCCCTAACCCGACCCTAAATTCTCAAGTTGGGTCGGTAGGTAGGTAAACAATTTTATTTTCTGACAGCAGCTTTAAAAATACATTCTAAAATTTAATGGAAAATTACCTTTATAAATGAGAAAAGTACAAAAGAAAGCGATTTGTGAACAAAATGCTAAGTATCGTACAGATGCCGTTTAAAAGCAAAATTCATGATTAATTAATTCACAACTGTTATTTAGTTGAACTTGTAAAATATCTCACGCCATTACATTTATATAAATTGAATAAAATAGACAAGATTCTCAAAAACGCAAAGACCAGACATACGAGTATATGTTTTCAAACCTTCCATCAGCCTTCAGAGCTTATAGACGATCAATGTTCTTTTTGAGGGCCATGAGATTTGCAGTGGTTCTGGAGCATTTTGCTTTAGAGTTAAGAAGTGGATGATTTTAAATCGCAGGATCCAATCCCAATGAGTAACGTTGAAAACAGTCCTTGAAAGAGGACCATAAAATCTTATGTCCAGTGTCGCAGAAGATGCTAGCTCAAAAAAGATCCCCCGCTGCTTAATGGCAAAATAGTGCTGAGTACATCTAAATTTGGAGCAATGGGGAAATGTTTAAATGCCGTCCTATAACAAATCTAGAAGGGATTAAAAGCAA